ATATATATATATATATATATATATATATATATATATATATCATTACCGTTCCACTTGCAATGACAACGAGAAATATAAAATTAACATAATAGGACAGCGATAACGACGAAGTTTTGTAAAATTACGTTGACAATTGTCGTTCGAGAAGCAAATCACGATTTAAGAGGATTTCTTACGTGATTTATAAGCACGAAGCTAACGCGTTTGTTCGGATGCGCTCTTACTTGCGTGCCCCTCGCGCACTCGATCACGCAGAGATCAAACTGTAATAAAATCTAACCACGTGAAATGTGCGGTGCGTGCGAGCTGGGGCACTCATGTAAGACCACGTGCCGAAACAACAGAAAAAGAAAAAAAAGAAGAGAAAAGAGGAGGAGATGTGCCGACCTCTCTCGATGAATACATTAAGCTGCGTTCCCTTTTATTAGCCCTTAAGTGTTACTCGACGAGAAGTTGGACATCCCGATTGCTCGAGGAAATCGTCCGCACGCGGCTCGTTCGCGCTATCTCGGCTCGGAACGCGAAATATCTCGTTTCGACGATCGTAAAATAAAGAGTCGTAAAATTCACGGGGTCAGGCGCTCGCTATTTACAAATCGATTGCCATCGTGAGCGCAGGACCGACGTTAAGGCGTGCCCTCGCAATCGGCGAGGACTCGTCGGAGAACCGAGACAACAAGACGCGCCGAAGCGGGCGACTTCTTCCCTCCACATTTGCGTGTCGGACGAGAATCGTAGATCGTAAAAAATCGTAAACCCTCCCAACCACCCTCGTCCATAAAAATACATCGGGCGGTGCCATTACCGCCGTCTTTCTTTCGCAGTGCAGCATGCGGCGGCAGCGATGGAAATCTCTTTTCCTTCTTTCCTATTTTTCTTTTCTTTAATTTTAGAACCGACTTCGTGATCTCGCGTAAAAAAGATGTCCCAGTCGGCAATGTTAACGTTGTAATTTTATGATCGTCGTGACGTGTGCCATCTACGACGAATATTTCACGGATGTTAGGTCTCGCGTCACATTTCGAAAAAAATTGAGATGAAAGTATTGATATCGCGACTTACGAACTTTGTAAGTAACGTTTGAAAGTAACGTTTTTCATCTTCTGATTTCTCGCGGTAAAAAATTTTCGAGTCGTGAAATAGAAAGAGAGGTTACATTTCAATGATGTAGTGTTACACGCGCCCTACGTGAGGACTCGAACGATGGGTCGTACGTTGATTGACCCTTAGCTCGTTCGATATCACGCAGGAACGAGTCCGGCTGCGGAAAGCGCAAACTGCGTACGCACGTGCATATATGCGTGCACGCTCGCGGAATACAATATCGCGAATTCGATATTTACGAACGGAACGATCGGCCGAGATTCGGTGATCAATACCGAGCTCGTTTACGCGTACTCGTGCGAGTTTACCTCGGTCCCCTCGGTGAATGCGAAATGTTGGGAAACGTTCGGAAGTCACGCTCGTTAAATCGCGGCTTCGAAAAGGAAAAAAAAAAAGAACGAAGAATTTATCGACCGGAACAACTCAATCGCATGCTACAACACGCTACTTCTTTTCCTTTTCTCTGTTATGAGAAATCGCCGCGCAAAAATATCTTTTCTTATCAGTAGCGCAAACGGAGATTTTTT